TTGATGCAATATGAGCTAGTTGTGTATGCATCTATATTAATTTGCAACAGGGTAAAACAAATGAAAATAGCTGTTTGCCGTCTAGCTTACTGGCCATTAGGGGACCAGATAAGATGAAAATGAGCTTCTGTAATTGCTAAGTTTTAAGTACTTGAAGGAAATTAAATAATGCAGAGATGTTTTGTGTGCTGAAAACAAACTGCCCTTAGCAAAGAAGCTCCCTCACTACTCCTTCCACACAGCTGGAACAAGCTCTGAAAAAGGGGACTTGGGGGTCTTGGTGGATGGCACGTTGAATACAAACCTTCCTTGGAGACAGTCTAACACCATCTGGATCTGGTCTTGGGCAAGCAGTTCTGTGTGGCCCTGCTTGAGTAGAGGCTTGGATGAGATGACCTACAGAGGTCCTTGCCAACCTCAGCCATTCTGCGGTTCTGTGATCTCAGTGCTAGTCAGTTGTACAATACAATCCTGATTTTATGAAGGGAAATGAAAAATACAAACGTGCCTTTAAGTATACAAATCCATTGATCTTTCACATGGCATTTTACTCAAGTACAATTACATATAAAATAAGAAAAATAATATTGAATGTTTTGAAAACAAAGCTATCAAAATGGAAGTGCAGTATATGGTAAAACTGCAAAATCTCTTCCAGGGAAGTATACAAAAGGCTTTGAAGTACTAGTAGGTTTTAGTCTTGGTCCTGAAAATAACAATAGAAGATGAAGAAATTAGTAACTAGACTTGTTCATCCGGTTAATCATTTATCTGCACACTGCCAGTAGGCCAGTCTCTTCCAAATTGGCTCTTCTTCACAAATAAGAGTCTCTTCTTGCACACACAGCTCATAGTTTTAAAATTAGTTGTTCCTGGAAAGGAAATCTGAAGTTCAGACAATGATGGCAGAAAATCCAAGCTGAGACAGTGCTTCCAAGGTGAAGTGCAGATATTTTTAATTTTTTAAATAGTTATATAAGGAGGACAGGAGGACAAAGGAAAAAAAATGTTTTCTTCCTTTTTTTTTTTTTTTTAATACTTACTATGAATAAATTAGCAGAGAGTTATGGTGCCCCTTTGGCAGCTGTCCTCCTATGGTCTATGTAACTCTTTAGTACTACAGGGATCAGTACTTTTTGAAATCTCTAAACTGGTCAAGGCACATTTGGAGATTTGTTACTGTTCCCCTTGTAGTTAGACACTATATTTATAAATCAGAAATATTTGAGTTGTGTGACATGAGATGTGGTCTTTCCTGTAAAATAGTTTCCTCTTTCCAGTGCATTAGCTTTACTGACAGTCTAAAGTCTTTCCTAATGCGTAGCTTAGTAGAGCTGCTTTTTCTAGGTCAGTCCCAGTGTTGGTAATACAGAAACGCAAACGTCGGTGTTACGTTGCTGTCTGCACAAAGTACAAGGAAGCAGTAAAGAGGAATTCAGCCATTCTAGTGTCTTTCACAACTGCTCCCAGAAAGGTGGCACCTTTGGTTCAGAGCCAGGTGTGCAGAAGGACAGCGCTTGAAGTCTATGGATAACTTTGCTTACTCTGTAATTAGTGTAAGCTTTGTTTCTCAGAAATTGCTCAAGAATGGCTATAAGTAAAGTGTAGACCACTTATCATGCATCCTTTACAGAAATAGTCTTCTGTCTTCCTTGGTAGCATTCACCATTCCTAATGCCTTTCTGTATAACCAACTTCTAGTTATTTTCTTACACCTAATAAGGACTGACCTTTTCAACTGTTATGTTTGGAAGGATTGAGCTAATGGTATTGCCTGTAAGACTCTTCATGGAAGTCTCTCGTGCCTGTTTTGCTACTTCAGTTTTTTCCAGTGTGGAAGCAGTGTGAGGATTTCTTGGATTTTCATGGTTTTTTGCATTTCTGATACAGTGTTGGTATTAAGACTTGAAATAAGAAAAGTGGCCTAAACTTCTGGAAATGGTATAGTTCATTCAGAGAGTCTCTCTAAATTGAGGTGTATCGTAGCTTACCCTGTGTCGTTTGGTTGAGCTTTTCAGAACTGATACTCCTTTCGTGCTTTCAGTTTCTCCTGTGGCAGCTTCTTTTGACCTTGTGCTTAGCTGTCTTCCTTCTTGAATTTAGACATGTCACTGATGAAAGTGTGAACCCCTCAAGGGAACAATGATACAAGAGAACCTTCCTGTCTTATTACCTAAGAATATGTCAGTTAAACCTTTTTTCACGTATTGCCTATCACAGTTAGGATAAGCCTCATGATCAAAGTTCACATTAGGAATATAATATAATGAGATAACTCACAAGGCCACTTATCATTTGTGCCAAGTCTGATTTTTTTTGTTGATTGATTTTGGCTAAGTATGTAGATCAAAACTGAAGTATGTGGTCCTTGCTTGAGATCGTTACCACATCCAGAACTGAAGATGAAAGCTGAGGGATTTGAGATGTCGTGTACTTCTTGCATTGACCACTGAAACTATTACTGGTAATCTCTGTGAGCATGCTATACTAACCCAAGTGAAGGAGAATGATGCACAATTTAATTAGTAGAGCCATCTTAGGGTAGAAGAGGGATAATAGTAAAAACAAAACAAAACAAAAACAGCCAGTCCATGCCTGCAGAGGTGCCCTCTGGCCTCCTTCCACAAAGGGAGCAAGACACTGGGCTCCACTAAACATTTCCCTGATCCTTAAGCATGACTTCTCTCTCTAGGTTGTATTTAAGCTAATTGTTTTTATCTCCCTGCAAATGGATGCCATCAAATGTCATGCACAATAGCTTGATAATAAACAGCATTAATAATGCTGCTTGTGTTGTGTTTTGTTCTCCGGGCTTTAGGATGCTATCAGCTGGAGGGATTGGAGACGATGCTGCAGTACCTCGTGAGGGAGAATCTGGAGTTGGTGACCCATGATTTTCCTCCAAGTGTACTGCCCTTTACAGTTACTCCTTTCTGTCTGCTCTGGGCTGACAGATTAATAACCGTGACAGATCTAACATAATCATTGACAGTTTTGTTTTATGACTATCTCTGAAATGATTGTGTTTTTTACCTAGGCTACAGTGTTTCCAAACTATCAGTCTGTCTAAAGCTAATGAAGCACTTTATGGCCACTTGTAGAACAGCTTCCATTGTTTAATTTCATGCGCTCTTTCTAATTAATTTGCAAGATGACAGCAACAACTGATACTTATTTTTTTTGCATTGTTGATCCCACTATTATTTCCTTTGTGGAGTCACACGTATAGATAATCTAATATTTGCATTATCTCAATGTTTCTCTATTTGGAAAAAAAAACAAAACAAAACCACCCAACCTGTTAATAAGCAAATTCAGAATTTTTTTTGCAGTAGTATGGAAGTGTGGAATAGGAATATAATACACGGTATTATGGGTTTATACTAAAAGACATAGAGAGCAACAGATGTATAGAAAAAAGCCTGAGTGATGTATTACCATTACAGAGAGGAGAAAAAATTAACCTCCTCTTGCATGAGTAAATTTCACTGGTCTGGTCTCATGAATAGCTTCACAGAATTTAAAATAATCCTTCTGTATAATGAATTTGCAAGCTAATTACTCTTGGATTGCCACAGTATGATATAACTCTGTCAGTCTGGAAGTGTTGAAAATTTTGCCAAAGTTGTGAAGTGGATCCAGCTGAAACCAGAATTGAATGGGTTTCCCAATCAATATATCTGCAGATTGTTGCAGTGTATTATTCCAGTAACTGTGATAATTGTTGGGTTTTATCCTTTTTTAAAAAACAATAGAGTTAGAAGTGGCAGATGGTAGTTAATGATTAACATTCCTAGTAAACAAACTTTTGCATGGATATATTTAAAGTGGTTGTGTGTATATAAATAGACAGGGAGCATGAGCTATGCAAGTATAATTGAATTACATTAACATAACTTAAGTAGGTTTGGTAAATACCAAACACCTTAATTAACTTACACAGCATTAGGAGGTTAATGATATACTCCTGCTACAAGCAATTCTTCAAAGTGTTTGGCAACATGGCAGTTCAGAGCCAAGCTAATTCATGGTACCCCACCCTTTGTAGCTGATGTACAGCAGTTTAGTTAAATATTGCACTTATAAGCCTGGCCTCTCCTGGGATTTCTGGATGTGTAAGCAACAGTCTTCCTTAGGAAGGCCTGGAAAGCTCCCTCTGGAGTGAGGTTTGTGGTCTCATGTACTCAACATGGCACTCAAGTGGTGCAGGTCTCCGTTCCAGCCTGGAGAGCCTTCTGAACTCTCAAGATGTTTTTTTCTCAGGCTCTGTAAGCTTGCACTTTTAAACAGAAACTCCCTGTCAAAATTTTATCCAGCAGCGTTGTATAACTCTTGTGCTAAGAAAAGATAGCAACTCTTTTTGTGCCATCAGTTGATAAAGACAATTTCTATCTGTCTTCAGCTGCTGTTTTTGCAGTCTTTCCTCTTTCTGACTTCTTATTTATATTTCTTTTGCTGATGCAGATTCTGGAAAATATGCAAATTGCATCCTATAGTCAGTTCAAGAAGCATAATTGAATCTCATTGTTGGAACTGTCAAATCAGTGTCCAGTCTTAGCTGTGCATCTTTTTAGCTAAGTGTATATCATTTATTGATACTTACTCTAAAATCTAAGTAGTGGAGTTAGAAGCCTGATTGAAAGTCAGTAGTGGAAGCCGGAGTCTTTATCATGCTAAATAAAGTAAACAAAGAATGTTGCTACCAGTCTAGTTAATTACTTTAAAAATACTGGTGAGTCAGGAAACTATATGTAAATTGGTATGAAATTAATTCACGTTGTATTTGACTGATTTGGAAAAAGCACATTGGATCTACAAGTGGTTGAAATTTGTATTCTTCTCTCATATAGAAAACTGTTCTCTAAATGAGCTAGCATCTCTCTTGGGAAAGAAATGTGAATTTTGCTGACAAGCTGAGGACTCTCAACAGAAAAATGCATGCTGACAGTTTGACCCAGTGGCCAATTGACTGATTATTTATCTTTTTACTTCTGTTTTAGATGCTGAAGAATACCAGCCTCCAATATGGAAATCATATTGTAAGTACACCATAATCTTAGTACCTTGCCAATATGTCACTGTTATGTCTTTTTCCTTTCTTCATTGGGAGGGAAAAAAAAAACAAAAAAACATAAATGTCCATTATGACTGTAGAAATTACTAAATGGGATAATAAATGGAACAACAGTGAAACTTGAACTTTTCTGGGTCTCTATAGAGCAAATATAGCAGGATTTTGAGTGACAGACTCTCTGGGTTGCCTTACTAATGTGTAAATCCTGTGTTTCATGGCTTTTCTTTTGAGGGTTCCAAAGGTTGAGGTTAATGCTTCATGAATTTACTAAAGGGAAGATTTGAGTGTACTTGTCTTTTTCTATGGGTTGTCGATTCACTTTAAGATAATAAAATTTTTGATCCTGAACAATACAAGATGTTTTTTGAAGTGGTTTAGAAATGTGACCTTATGATCAGTTCTAAGAACCTTCCTGTTTTCTATTAGAGAAGTCATCTACATAGAGTGCAATGCAGAAGTGAATATTTTACGCTCTTCTTTGCTTTGTATGTTTTAATAAATTAGTACAGATCTAAGACAAAATATTACCTTTTAAATCCTTGTTAAAGATAGCCTTTAAATTTGATCTTATTTTGAACACTTACAGAAACTTAAGTGAAATGTAGCTTTGGGTGTTTTTTTTCCCCCACTGATTTCAGATACATAGCTATCCTAAGTGAAAATGACCCACTTATTTTGGCAGCTTCAAATTCAGTACAGCACCATTACAGAAATGGAAGTATAAAAAGGATTGCAGTAGTTACATGCCTATACACGTATAATTCTAAAGACTTGATTAAACTTGTTGGCTTTGCTTTCATGCACATTACAGTATGCTTCAAGACACCACCTATGTGAGAATGACATTCTACCTCATAGTAGACTGGGATTCTTTCATCCAGAATTTGAGTATACCATTAAATTACAAAGATTGGTTTTCAGAGCACTGTTTTCCAGACACTTTTGGTTTTGGTGTTCCAGTATGTTGGAACTTTGTAGAGTATTTGGAGAAAAGTAGATGCTTGAGTGTGTTCTTTTAATATAAAAACCAAGCTTACTTAAAGTCACTGGAAAAACTTCCATTGACTCTGATGAGACCAGGATGTGAAATGATAGTAAGGAAGCTTCCTATAGAGAAAAACATCAAAAACTAACAGGGAATAAGCACGTGCCTTTAGGCACCTTCTCTTAGTCATCTCACTTGTGCAGCCAGCAGGTCAGTGCATGCAGTGAAAAAATTTGGTTACATTTTGCCTGAGAGTTTACAGATAGTCCTTTAAAAATACACAACAAAAGCAACAACAAAAGCACAACAGGATGAAATAACAGAATATGAGGATATAATTTCCTGTTTGGATATAAGAAGGATGCCAATATTGTGGCAACGACAAAGTCATCAACATCTCAACCCCATGCATGAATGACTTAGGAAAAAGTTACCCGGCTCCAAAATTCACATAGTAGTTTAAGCCTACAGAGATTTATTGCTGAGACTACTTAGCCACAGACATATGTTTTTCATTGCAGTATTGGATGAAATGCACTTCTTTGCTCCTCTAGAAAAATCATCATCTGTCCAATTAATTATAGAAATTATGACCAATGATTGCATTACTCTGTGATGTAATCTCCTCCTGTCTCGTCAGGTTTAAATGAGTACATGCATTTTACTCTTAGCAATCAATGCGTTCTGCCTATTTAATGATTATTTTATGTGTATTTTAGCTAGTAACTTTTTTTCCATGTTTGCTAATATACTATTGAAATACTTTGCATATGCTTTTGACTTCTTTTTAAACAGCTGCACTATGTGGTCATTCACTGACTTAATTATCAGTGCTTCAGCTCTTCCAGTTTCTCATCAAGGACAGATTATCCAGTTTGTGCAGGCAAAGTATTCAGTTTTCCATGGGCAAAGGCTGGTCAAAGCAGAACAGCTTTTCAGTGTTATACTTGGTATAATTCAGAAGCTTGTTCCAGCTGGATTTGGAAAAGATGCACAGTTCTAATTCAGAAGATATTCACATGTTCATGAATAACTGTTTGAAGGCATGTAGATTTCACAGATCCGCACTCTGTTGTGAAGTAATGTGGCAAGATGCAGAGCCACAAAACTAAGGAATCCTATGAAGCATTCTCTGGCAGAAGGCAGTGCATTTCTTCACTGCTTTATAAAAACAGTGATAAGAATTTTTCCTCTCCACTGGAGCATCACTGATCATAGGTGAGTTAAAACAGAAAACTGCAGACTGAAAAAGGTATGAAGACATTGGTGATGATAGTCCACCTTCTCTGGCAGAAGAGGAGTAAGTGCTGACTTCTGCATGTCACCTCTATGTTGCTTTACACAGAACGGATTTTATAATTAGACATTTCTGTCTAAAATACTTTGGTTGCTCCAAAAGTAATGCCTCCTATTTATTTCTGTGGAAACTACAACAGATACAAAGAGCACAATAAACTGTTTGATAGAGCAAAACCACAGCTAAAACACTGTTTTGATATAGTCACCACTATCAGCTATGCATTTTCACCATTGATGAATAAAAAGGACTTTCCTGCCTTGCTTCTCAAAATCTGCGCCAGCAGATTTTCAGGTATTTCAGGTAGAAATTCTATTTCAGGTAGAAGGTTGTCGTCTTCTCTGGTCTGAGTCTGGCAGTTTGAGCCTTTAGCTGAGTCACCATCACAGTGTGGTGTTAAGAGTTTGTGGTCTGGGTAGCGGGAAATCCATAAGGATCACCCCTTTCCTACTGCACATCATTTTACTTGTGAGGGCTGTGACTTGAACTTTTTCTTCAGTGGGGAATTCACATGTTGCTACTCCATGGACTGCTATTCTGACCCTGGATCATAGTCATGGCACCACATCTCTTCACCAGTAATGATGTGATCCAAGAAACTGCCACCTTCAGCCTCATTGTAGTTCAGTAGGTCCTAACAAACCTGTATACAATGTTCTTTGCATTCTTGTGTCAGCATTTGTGGGAGCCACCTGGTGCAAACTGCAATATTCCAACATTGCAACAATAATTTCCAATGCAACGAAGTAGATATTCAGCTACATGCATAGATCCCTGGTTGTAATTTGCGTAAATGGGCTGATTGTGATACTCTTCATTTCCTGCTATGAAAGCTGTGCATGGCTATCTGGAACGTGGCTTGTTTTTCATGTCGCTGTTGTCACTGCTGAAATGCACCACCCACCACCTCACTGTGCTTGCTTCCACTGTTTGATCTCCATTAGCGTTCAGAAAGTGTCAGTGAATGTCAATGGGGGCCATTTTTTCTTCATGGAGGAATTCAGTGTCACATGTTTGCTTCACATGCACTTTCGTGTCAGACGTCATTTTGTCAGACTGCCCCTCTGCTGCCATCTCTAGCAACTACATACAATGGAATACTGTCAGGAAGGTTTAACCTCTTCTGCCATACCACCACCATCAGCTTCTGATGCTGTGGCTGGCATACTAGAACAGGAGGCATTAATTTTAGATCAGCCAGTGTTAGATTAGAGGATTTACCTTATTTATTCTGGGAAACAAGTCTCATCCCCTTTCTGCAACAAAAGAGCTGTATGTCTTCAAACTAGTTATATCTCAAATAAATGTTCACTTAGATATTCTATAATCAATTAAAGTTTTGTTGCCTTTATGCACTCCCAGGTGATTATGATACTATGGATGCTGGGAAGCTATTTGAATTATTAAGCTGATAAAAATTGTTCAAGGGGCATTTAAAAGATTGTCTTTCCCTTTTCCCTTTTTTTCCCTTTTTTTCCCTTTTTTTCCCTTTTTTTCCCTTTTTTTCCCTTTTTTTCCCTTT